TTTCTTTTTCCTTTTAGCACATCATTCTAACCAAAATTGTATGAGAAACTAAAATAAAAAATATCATGTAGTGTGTAGTTCTACTTATAGAACTACAACTTTGATCATGAAAAAGAAGAAATTAGAAACACACAAACAAACAAATGCAAAACTGCATTGAAATAATGCCCACTTAAAATTTTTTTTCATTTTAGGAAAAAGACTTTGAATTCTATGATCAAGATAGCTCAAAAGCAAAAGCCACAGCCAAAAAATTAGTAGACACGTTAAAGGACGATGAGGATTATTTACGCGACCAGGCAGGTTCGGGAGAGGGCCAGGATGATGACGGTGAAGAGGGGAGTGGTTACGGGTCGACCAGTAAAAGACCTGTCACTGTGTCATATCCAGGTAAGGTGTGTGCGCTTGTGTGTGTGTGTGTGTGTGTTTTTGTTTATATGTGTGCATGCATGTGCGTGTATGTACACATTGGTGTTTGTGCCTCGGTGTGTGTGTGTGTGTGTATCTATGCATGCATGGGTGAATGTGTGTGTGTGTGTGTGTGTGAGTGCATGTAAGTTGGTATGTGTGCACAATTCTCAAAGTAAAAGATTATGGTATGTTTGTGTATATATGTGTTTTATTGAGAGAGAGAGAGAGAGAGAGAGAGAGAGAGAGAGAGAGAGAGAGAGATAATCTGTGCATATGTGAAATTGTTATATGTGCTTTTGTGCATATGTTGAGGTAGGTTACAATCATGTTTGATGCATACATATTAGTGTGTAACAGTTTTTTCCACTGATGCATGTGTACCCATGTGAAGTACGTGGCAGGGCTAGTGAGAGGGAAATGTTACTTTCAGTGTCACAGACAGTAAACAAAATTGAAATTCCCTACAATCTTTTTCCTCCCTCCCATTTCCTATGAATCATATGATAAACCAAAAACCCAAATACACTAGTTCAAATAAAGTCTAAAATGTCAAATGCAATCAAGCATGCTTCAAACTTTGATCTTTTTTTCAATTAAAAGATAAAAAGGAAAAAGTCAAATGGTTTTGGGCTTTGGACAACCCCAGTTGTGTAACAGTTTTTGGTGAAATGAGCCATTCTGACTGCTGGCTGTAGATTTAAGTATCTCTGGCTCCTTTTAGATTGTGGAGCTTTTCTGGCACCCAGATGGCATATGTAATCCCAAGTGGATTGTCTTGTCTGCCACACTTATTGCCCTAGTGAAAAAGGAGGTATTTGACTGCGGAGTCCCATATTTTCACTCTGTTTTCAAAATTACCAGCAAACACCTCTTCGGTACCAAGATGTACTTGGGATTTCCCCGTTCAGTCTGTATAATGGCTGTTTGTGTATGTTTTATGACATAGAAGTAATATTTGGTGGTCTGGAAGTTGTGGTGGATATCTTAGACTACGTCTTAGTGAAAGATGGCTATAAATGTCAATATTTCAAACTTGTCACATTTATTCCAACTTAAATAGTTATGAATTCACTTTAAAAGATTGTTGACCAATTGTGAATGCTTTTGTCCATGCTCTTTTTCATGGGATTTAAAAATCAGAAAAAAGTTTTAATGGAAAAGAAAAGATTATCTTTAGAGATTTGTTATTGTAGAATAGCCCTTTGAAGACATCCAGGATTGGATAACGAAAGGCACGTTTGACACATAATGTCACAAGAACATCATAAACATTACTTCGCACTTGAAATAATAGCACTTGTTTGTTGTAAGGCTAAAGCCTTTAAAAAAGTCCTAAATGTCTTCAAAAAATAGTCCCAAATGTCGTCACAAAATAGGGTGCATTCCCAGGGATTTAGATCGATCCAGAGATTCCTAAATTGCAGTCAGCCGAGTGCGCACCATAGTTAATTACCCCCTTTCAGCTTTTAGTAGGCAGGACAGACGCATGAGCCGGCTTAGCTGACAGTAATCTAGTGAGACTCCTCACAGGGATAGAGCGATCTAAAATCTATGGGAATGGGGTCATAGGCCCAATGTCTTCAGGTCCCATGGTACATATTATTATTATAACATGGTACAGCGATAAACATCAGCCTATCAATTTCATTCAATTCGTCTCGTGTCTGAACAATCAGGACAGTTGTACCTCTATAGATCGTCTGCTCGTATCTCCGTGACATGTCTGCTCCATCTGTCACAGGTGACAACAAGGGTGACACAGGTGACAAGAAATAAAATGGAACGCTGCATAGAACATAGCAAACTCTGTGGCACATCTGGAAGTGATATGGACCAAAATTATGTCCAGCAGACTGTATCTGTCTGACTGTAGAGATGAATCCTGATTAAAGGGAAAAAAAGAAACATTTGAAATAAATTCTGCCGTACCCCACTCCCCCCTGCTGAAAACAACTTATCTTTTCCATAAAACTTTTTTTGCCACTGGTGTTTATACATATTTACTCCTGGTGAGATATTTTTAGACAGAGTTATCATCTTTCTCCTATTTTTTTCTCTCTGGAAATTAAAAGAAGCAAAAGAGTTCTGCAGCAGGGAACATGTATATAGGCTTAAAAAAAAACTGAAATGATTGCTTTCAAGATTTTTCTAGTAAATGTTTCATACTTGACAGAAAGATATTTTTTATTTATAAAATGGCCATGTCTTCTAATGACAAATAAACCCCAATTACAATATTCCAGTTGTAAATTGTGACAATGGGCAAAAGTCTGTGCAAAGTTGAGAAGTTACAGGTCATTACCAACAAACACTATTTTGTTGTTAGACATAGGAAGTGGGGTTGTCTCGCAGGGACTTGGAAGTACATTTTTAAGACACTGCCATGCTGTCGTATAATGGGAAATGACTTATTGAAATATTTGAGGAAACCTCTAGCCTTTTGTCCTGCTAGAGTTTGCGTGTTCCCACAGTGCCTGCTATTGTTTATACGACTCTCATTACATGTTGTCGTTTCCTGTGGCCCATGTTGGTTCATTGTGAAGCACACCTCAGCTGGCACCATCTTGATTTCAAAACAAAAAAAAAAAATTTAAAAAATCTTTTATGTACCCTTCATCAGGGCCGTCTGCCTTTTTATGCTACCAAGCTCCAAAATTACTATGTTTGCCCACATTCTCTCCCTTGTAATATATCTATAAATCTTTTATTTTCTTGGTTAGAATTTTTGCCATTTTTTGATTCTTGAAAAAATAGTTTATGGAAACAAAACAAAAAAAAATCCACTGTTGTTTCTAAGATACCACCCACTTCACTTCACTGATGTTTGTGATTGTGCCCCAGACCACCAGGTTGTGGTTAGGAACAGTTACACTCTGTGGCTAGGATTGCCTTAAGGGCAAACCCAAGTAGCACAGACCAATTTATGCCAAAATGCTGTAAGAATGAAAAAAGATTTGACACCATTATGTCATTTTTGCTTTGATAAAACTTCACTCTCTGCAACAAAATCACTTAAATTATCTCCATCCTGGTTCGTTTTTAACTCTGCATGTGTAAACTTGCCTTTTAACTTGACTGTTCCAGACCGTGGCTTACAAATCACACATGGCTGAGCGGACTGCTGTTTTAGTTTTTGTTAAACAATCAGAAGACATATTTTCAGAAAAGCCATTGTGTTAAGTAGGAATGGTAAGACATATGCTGAACTTCTAATGATGAAGGTTGTGTTAGGGGGCCACATGTTAGACTCTCAGCAACTGGGGCCCAGCTCCTGAACCAGGTTTCACCAGAGAACTAAGGGACCATTCCCATAACCCTGTTGTACTAGCAGGATCAATCTATCTCTGAGGGGATTCTCGCCAAATTGCATTCGGTTTAAGCATGCTTGAAAGTTTATTATCGCCCCCCCCCCCCCCCCAACAGCTTAAGTGGGCATGACAGACATTTAAGCCACTTGAAATGATGCAAATTAGGGAAAATCCCCCTAGGAGTTAGGTCGATCTTGCTAGTAGGATAGGTTTATGGGAAAAGTTTGTCTAAATCTTTAGACTGACATTTTATAGTGAACGATTCAACCTGAAATGAATCAAACATAGACCCCTTAAATTAAATATCACAACCATCTCATAGATCACACCTCTAGCCACTTAATTTTAGTAGACTACTTAAGGTTAAGCTTAAAACAAGTAAGAACAGAATTCTCTATCTAAAAGTGAAGACCAACAGTTAAAACCACCCTAGCCCCCCCCCCCTCCCGCCCCCGTATCCATCTTATTTGTCATCCTGAGTTAAATGGTAACTAGTCAAAAGCTGGTTTATTGAACCTTTTTTATTGGTGTAGGTATACAAGTATCAATCATACTGATGACATGTATGGACTAGGCCCTTTGATATTTCTATATATAAAGACTTTTCCAAGCTAAAATAACCCCTGATTTGTTTGGAATTTGGAAATATAAGCCACTCTTGGGATGTTTAGGGCTCTATGACACATGGAAGAAAAATAGATCCCAAATGCAAAAACAAACATAGCATAAATACGAAAATAAACAAGACTGGTATAATTTCCATGCGGTTGAACTGCAGGATTTTTTCATCAACTGCAACTGTAGCATCAGGATAAAAAAATCCAGCACGTGGCCTTTAATCTAGATTTTTTTATTTTCTTATGAAGATGTTTAATTAGCTGTTACAACGAGGTCAGTTTTCAAAAATCCTCAGGATTATGGCTCCTCTATCTACACTAGTAGTTGACATTTTTCTTTAGCTTGTCACATCTACATGTATCTGGTGTTTACACCAGTTGCATGTAAGCCTTAGACCCCATTCCCATACCTGGATTGATCTAAAAGGATCGATCCATTTCAGGGGGATTTCTCCCTAAATAGCTTTCAGCTTAAGCAGCTTAGATATCTGGTATGCCTACAGAAGCTGCTCAATGATAGTTAATTACCCTGTAACATTCTCAGTTGGTCTGCCAGACATCAGAGCTACCAAAAGCTGAAAGCAATTTAGACAAAAAACTTCTTAGAGATGGATCGATCCTGTTAGATCAATCTAGGTATGGGAATGGGGTCTTTTCACAACTTTCTAAAACAAAACATGCTGTAATGTCCATCTCCACTTTTTACAAAATGTCTGATCAGAAAATAGAATGATTACTTCAGTACCGCAAAAAATCCTGCACTTCTTGTGTGTAAACCTCTTTACATTCAATACGATGTGTTAATTTTTAATGGCTCTGGCACTTAATTCTGAGTTTGTTTATCTGAAGGAGATGGTAAATCAATTGGTGATATGGAGATATTGTCTGTAGTTATTAAAATAAAGGTGGGAAAGAGGACGGGCTGCCCTCTTCACATGCGCATACATGAACACACACACACACACACACACACATTGAAAAAAGGAGTTATAAAGCACCTTGTCTGATTATATCCTACTTTTTCCTTCAACCCTCCTTCTTTCAAAACTATGCCCCTTATCATTTTAGCCTGCTCTTTTTTGGGGGGGATCACCAAAGTCAAGGGGAGAGCTTTACACTGTTCCTCGGCAGAGGTTGCAAACATCAAAAAGCCATCCAAATATTGATAGATGGGCACCAAAAAGTACCCCTACTTGACTTCTGCTGAATATATATATAGCAAGCTGCCAGACAAGTGGCTTAGGCCTAGATTAGCTCTGCAGTTTGTTTTGGAAGGGTACCTGTGAAAAGTGTCGAGGGGTTTAAACAATACAAACAAATGGGTGCTGGAACTTGGGATGTGGCTGTTTATATGAAAGGTCAGGTGGTGTCATTGTTTAGCTGGATTCTTTGGCCCGTCTGGGGTCCATATATTAGTAAGAAAGGTGTGTGTGTGTGTGTGTGTGTGTGTGAGCGCATTTGCACAGAGGCATACAACCCTGCATGAACATGTTTGTATATGTGTATGTGCATGTTTGTGTGTGCAATTTAAGGCAAATATGCACAGGTATATGTGCTCTGCATGTGTGGTTGAAGCATTACATGTCCTATTGGGGCCAAATATACAAATGATGAATACACCAACTACAAATTTCTAAATAAGAAATCTTAGGTCACAGTAGTAAAGTCCATAAGTCCAGATAACTTCATTGGATCTTATGCAGTTATGCTAAAAGAAAATTCTCTTTGTGTATATATACAAAAATTACCTTTGCTTGATGACTATGTGGTGTTGCATCTCTGCTGGCTTGATCAGAACTAACTCTCAGGTGGAATTGTTAGGGTAATTATTGGTCTAAACAGTTGTCACTGCCTCTGACCTTTTTCATGTCCCAGCTAGTGGTAATTGGGTCAGTAATTATCCCATCACTGCCACCAGAGTCTCAGTTGAGAACAAGTCAGAAGAAAAATCTGGACAGAACAGTCAACAAGGAAAGGTATTCTGTAAATCTGTACAAAATGAAGCATTTTTCATTATTTTGGTTGAAAAAGACCCATCTAAATGGCTCTAAGGATGGGTCAGTGGCAAAAGATATATCCATAGAAAGATATTACACATGGCTTGTTAATAAGGGAAAGATGTGAAAATAAACATACGTCCAGTTCATAACCTTGGTACACACGCTGTAAGATGTTTATCCAGATTTACTGGATATTAACTGGTAATTACATATGTGGAAGTTGTTAGTTATCCCTTCAGAAATAATGTTTGGATGGCTGTGGATTTATCTGACATTTTCAAAGACATTTTTTTACTTTTGAACTCTTGGTCCAATGTTATCCTGTTTATGTTTATATTTGGCTGGTGACAGTAATTTAATTTCCCTCTCACTCTTACTTAAAAGTGTCTTTGACAGCCTCTTGAATGGCTTTTATCAAGAAAGGATTTCTGTTTATATGTACATAGTAGTAGTTTGAATATGTGTTGATGTGTAGTCTTTAAGAGGTACGTGATTGTATGCATGAATGTGTGGTGGTGTGAGCAGAATAATATATTGTGTTAGTTGTGATTGTGTTAAATGTGCTGGTACGAATTTTTTTCCTGTGTATGTTTTTGAATTGCGGCTTTTATTTATTTTTTTTAAAGAATTAAAATATTTAAAGTATGTTTTAAATTATATAAGTTGTATAATGTTTATTTGTTAATTTTGTTAATTTAATGTTAGTGTCAGTTTTCTTACATAATGTTGTCAAATGATACCATTTGCTTTGAAAGCTTTTTAGCACAATATTGCCAAGTATTTGTTGCTTTGGTTTATTTTTGTTGCCAATGCTATATAGAATTATTTTACATATGTGCTTACTCATCTAATTCTTAAGTCCTACATCTATGTACAGCATTATAAGTTGAGTTTTATCTGTGTTCTAAAGATTCTCCACTGTTTTCATTTGTTTGCTTGCTGACAGTTTACATTGTTTTTCTGAAGAAATATATGAATTATTTGCTTATTTATATACATGATCTCTTGAAGCAACCCTAGAAAAAGATTTTTTCCTATTAAGTGTAAACATTCCTTAAACACCCTTTACACCGAACAGTATCCTTTCTGTGTCCTTTGTGTGACCATGAAACTGGCATCGCTGTGGTCGTAGTCTCGTAGAGATGGAGGACAAGCAACAGTTTATTTGCAGAAAGAATGCTTAGTGAATGGCCATTTGTCGGTACATAAAGTATTGTTATTTTTTTACTCTCAAATGGGGCCGCCCTACGAGACGTAGAAAGGGTGCCGTCCAGTGTAAAGGGGGCTTTAGTTTTCAGCCTGTCATGACCATTTCACAAACATTTAAGGATTTCCCAGCATGCTATATTAGCTATAAACACATTCATGTAGTGGATCAGTCTGAGTTGATTAAATAAAGATGTAGTGGTCAATTGGAAGATATCTTAATCAAATCTGTGCCAGGGCTCACTCAATGATAGACTTTTTTTGCCCAAAATAGCTGCATATTTTCCACCCTCACAAAATTTTGAGCTATCATTGAAACATTTGGACAAAAACCAGTAAAGAACTTAGTAATAACAGTATATTTATTTTAAGTCTAAAGTTCATCAAAGATGCTCAGTGAACTGTGCATGTTAATGATAAAATCATCCAAAGTCATTGGATTTGACATTTTGTCTCAGTCAGATCAAACTTTGAAGTATTGGGCTAAAATTTGATTTGCTTTTGAACCCAGGACACTTTTGTTTATGGTGCCATCTGCTATAATGCCCATGTTTTGTTATATTATGGCAAAGAACAAAATCATCAAGACTGAAGTCAACATTTTAGCTTCATTGCCTTTCTTACGGAAAACTTTTTTTACAGACAAAAAAAAAAAAAGAAAAGAAAAAAAGTGCTGTAGACAGAAAAAAAGAAGAAAGAGAATACAAACTCACATGTGGCCTGACACATTTAGTTACCAATTCCCAAACTAACAGTGACACTTACACCATTTTAGAGCTTTGGTTTCTGTTTTCTGTTTTACTTAGAAAAAAGTGTTTGTGGTGTTGGATTCACAAGTGATGTAAGGTCATTTGCAGGGTTACCAACCTGAAACATGACAGTGTATTTTTTTAGTCATTTTATTGGGGGTAATCAGTCGGTATTTTTACTAAGATTTAAAAATGTGGAATGCAATTCTTGTTTTCTTTTTGAAAATGACCTGGAAAAAACCTGTGTTTTTTATAACCTGCAATTTGCTGATAAAATTATTGTGTAAAATTACTGTGTATTTAAAAATAAGAAGAAACTTTCTGCCAAATGAATACAAATATTTCATGCTAAAAAACTGAGTTGAATAAGAAATCTTGTCACAAAATTTAAAATGTTTTCCAGAATTTTATTATGTACATTCACTGAAAATATAGGGCACTAATATATTGCACATTGGAATTGACCTTCACCTAGAAGACATAGATATCCCAAACACACATTAGCCATTGGTTCTTGAGAAGCACACCCAGTACAGATCACATAGTATAGGAATATATGTATGTCACCAATTGCCATCAGCTGTTGTAATTTGACTACCTATTTGTTCTTTCAATGACTGGTCTCTCTCTCTCTCCCTTTGACTGGGTTCCCACAGATTTAGATCGATCTATCTGGATCGACCTAACTCCCTGGGGGTTCACGCTAAATTGCTGTCAGCTTCCGGGAGCCGAGCGCACATATAAGTTAATTACCCCCGTACAGCCTTTAGTAGGCGTGACAGACATTTAAGCCGGTTAAGCTGACAGCAATCTAGTGAGACTCCCCAGGGGGACAGATCGATCTAAATATCTGTGGGAATGGTCTCTTTCAGTGCCATTATTTTAGGTGCAATCCCAACCTTGCTTTATTTTTAAAGGCTTCGTACATAGGAACATCCTATTTTAGATTGAGACATTTTTTGTTTTTGCACAGACCAGCATAGCTCATGCTTTATTCATTTACCCTTAGAGCAGAGAATATTAAATGTTTTACATTCATACTGAACCTTATACTTTCATACATTCTAGCTACAACGCCCTCTAGTGGTGGGAGACAAGGTATAAGTTAGATGTAGTGATTAACAGTTATTTAAAAAAATTCTAACTACTGTAATATTAATTTAAGTAAATGTGAAGTAGGCAACTAATTTTTTTCAACTTGTAACATTTTAGTTTTCAGTACTTCAAGACAGTTAAGCCATAGGTATTCATTGGTAGCAATTGTAATTTAGTTCAAATGGTAGAGTTAATGAGTTAAGTTTTATTAACTTTTAATCTGTTATTAATTCACTTAGATAATCATTGATGGAAACAATAATTTGGGTTTGTTGATTGTTCTTCTTTAACATTAAATCCTAATGGTCAAATTTATATATGTGACCCCATGGTAACCAGTTAACCCAACTGTGATTGTCCAAAAATGGTTTTACATGTACCTTTTGTTCATGCCAAAAGCTTGTTAAAGGTTTCAGCTTTATATCATAACTTGACTGCGGAAAATAGCAAATGTTTTATTGTCACTGGTTTACTAAAATTTATTATATAAGAGCTGGGATTCTAGCACTTGGTAAAAATAGAAATTTGAGAAAGATGATTTAGCAGCTGTGATTAGCATTTGAAAAAAATGAGCCTTTTGTTCTTTGCAATGAATGCTCTTATTTTTGGCTCTTTTTTTTTTTAAATGGTTAAATTGAAAGAAAGAACAGTATCAGGTAGACATGTCCAGGTTTGCATGAAATTAACTTTTGTTTTTAGAAAATCCTATTAAACAACTGAGAACATGACAAGTATTGTTAACAGTTTTTGCATGATTGTGGATGGAAGACAATCTGTGTACATTAAAATACATTAAAATCACATTGTGTTCTAAGTTCAATGACATTGAAGAACCACCCTGGCATGCTAACAATCAACTTGGTATTTTTATGGGGTGGTAAAATAATTATGAATGTATATTTAACCTTTTTCTTGATGGGATATTGAACATGTTACTAAAGATGGAAATACTGTAATATGGTCTATAATGACAATTATGAAAAAAGAGAAAAAAATTATTTCTTGAAGATTGATATATGTTTCCGAAAGCAGTTTGCTAGTGCAAATTTACTGGTTAGTTTGAAAGTTTTTTGCCAATACACTTCTAATGATGGGGATATGTTTATTTACTGGGTTTTTTATAAATATAAAAGAGCCTTTTTGCCACTTACTAGTACATTTTTGACTCTGCTTTGTAGAGACTAGTAAATAAATGTAGCAATCAGCCATCTTGTCATGAAATAAGTGTCCATGTAAAAAAAAAAAAATCAGCTTCAAAACATTGCCACTTTATCCCCCTTGCCCTCTAAGGCCGCATTCAGAGCAGTGGACTAACTAGTCCAAAGGTCAAATATGGCCGACCCACTTGAATACTTCCTCTTGGAGAACCTGTTCAGAGTCTACTAGAAGACTAGATGGTAAGCCTTTTAGTGGGTCACCATATTTGACCCACAGACTAGTTAGTCCACTGTACTGAATGTGACCTAAGATCTTCACTCATCTCTCACTTTTCTTCCAACAATTAAATATTTCAGAATATTTTCGTGTCACAATCAACATCACGTCCATGGACTATCACCCAGCACTGTCAGACAGGTATAGCCCAGAATTCCAAGAGCTTTCCACACAGTTAGCCGCGGCACTGACGAGACTCTTTGCTGACATAGACGGAACTCAGCAAATAAATATTTTACAGTTTAGGTAAGTGGCATGTACCCTGGGTTGGAGAATTTACAGGACAACAGCCTATATATATCAGCCTCAAAACATCTACACATCATTCCCCTTGTAGGTCAGTGTGACTGTTTGTCAATAGGTGGCACTACAGGTTGTGGTGGACTCAACTGTAGATGGCACTGTTAACATGTGGGGTAGACACTGGGTTGGAGAGTATATATATCGGCAGCAGATCTCTCAGGGGCAGACCAGGGACATTTTCTGAGTCCTTCAAATTATCTAAATTGCATTCAGCTTAAGTGGCTTAAATGCCTAGCACGCCCCCTTGTAACTAAAAGTACTGGGGTAAAGTTGGGAAAACTTTGTGGTCCATGATGCTGCTCATGTTTCTTTGTGAATGAGTGTGCCAGACAATTAGCTGATTGCAATCACTGCATCTTACCAAGAATCCCTGCTGAGATGGATCGTTCCTGCTAGTACAAAATAAGGTTATGGGAACACAGTCTGAGATAAAAAAATAAATTATGAAACACAGGTTGGCATAATGGGTCATTTTAACATACAAAGGTATTTGCTTAAAATAAAAGAAAAGAAGAAAAAAGGTAAATATTAAAATATTTTAATACTTTTCATCTCAATTTTATCTCAATGTTTTCTTTTCATTTCTTTTATGGACAAACACTTTGCAGCTGGATTTACGGTCATATAACCCAGCACCTGTGTCGTTGCCATCGCTGTGCACTTTCCTCATTATTTCTGTATTTATCTTTTATTGGCCACAAAAAAAGATGTGTAGTTAGATCGATTACAAATTTTCTACATTGTGCATGTTATACTTTCATATCATAGATGTTACATCACACAGATGCATTAAAAAAATAATTGAAAAAGAGAACCATGATAAATGGAAATTTGTTATTTATTTATTTATTTATTTATTTATTTAACTTTTCAAGGAGAGGCTCCCTCATGGTGACATTTGACTTGGGCACTCAGGGCTACTACGACAAACTTAATCTCTATAATGTCATCAATAATGCAGTGAACAGTGGATACATTGGAGCATACAGGGTCAGCCCCTTGGGGTTCAGCTTCAGAGCACTGGGAGGTAAGTTTGACTATTTGTCAATAGGTGTCACTACAGGTTGTGGTGGACTCAACTGTACATGGCACTGTTAGTACAGTTGTAGTAATTGTATAAAATGGATGAGGATTTTGTTTTGGATTTAGAAAATTGTTAATGATTGAGACTGAAGTATGCCTCACAGTGGATTGTAAATGTAGTTGTTTTTTATCACAAGCACTGAGTTATTTTGTAGTTTTATAGATTGAAAGTTACACTTTACATATACAGTAAATACTTGATTGTACAAGTATGATAAGAACACTCATCAATTTCACCACAAATTAGTTGAAATAAGTTTGAAACAATGCAAACAATTAAGAAAGTGTGCATTTTTGAAGTCATTTCACTGTTAACTTTGTAGAGTGATATGATTAAAACATTGGAATTGCTATTATGTCATATTTTATATTTTAAACACTGCATGTTGGTATTGAAGCATGGTTTTTAATGGCCATCTTGCTAAATTTTGTGCTTTGTGTGTTATAAACACATTTTAATATGTTACTTTGCTTTTGTGCAGCATGATGTGCATGGTTACTTTTAAACAACAGCCAGTGAAGGTTTACTATTTGACTTTTAGCAAACATTAATCTAAGAATATTGCTAGATTTCAAAATATGCTTGGTGAATGCTTTTTGTCTTAAAATAACTATAGCTTTGTCTTGTTTATCATGCATGCCAAATATTTTGCAAATGTATTTATTGCTTGTTTTAAAAGCTTGAAATATTTTGGTGTGAAGAGCTTACTAAGGAATGTCATTGGTGTAGAGATTCGAATGAAGAGAGATTTTGTCAATTGTTATGTAAACTATGCCGGGGCAGTTTTATGGTAGAATAGAATATTAGAGCAACTAAAATGGTTTAAATTTAGTTCTACAAGAAAGAAACCCATATGTAAACATAACATGCTTTAATTTAAAGGAGACAAATTTGCATAATTTTATCAGTTCATATTTTTAGAAAGAACTGAAAAATAGAACACTATTACAATACTACTTTTAATCGCATTCTCTAACTTTTTGACATTTGTTATACTTTGACATTTATGTTGAAAGATTACTTAAACTAGCCTATAGAGTCATTGTTAGAGTTTTTTGTGCACTATGTTTCTAGATAAATAACAGAAAACAATTCTAGATGTTAGAAAAATAAATAAAATCATGGCCCTGTCAGCGTAAAATGGAAGCATGCAGTCTGGTGCATTAAGAAAAAGGCTAGATGATGCATTCCTAGGTACATGAATAGTTACTGCAGTAGGTGTATTGTTTGAAGAAACTGACACAATTTTAACAAGACCAATAATTTGACCAATTCTTTCAGGTAGATTTACCTAATACCTTTTAAATTGCTTTTCAGTCGAGTCCATTATTGTGATTTTAATCATGCTTATGTTAAGTTGTTGTTGACTGAAAGACTTGTTTTGAATTGTTGAATTAATAGTTTCACAGACAATGCTTTTATACCATCAGATTTTCAGCTCTACTCAAGAGCCTTCCTCAGGACAGGTATAAAAGCATTGTCTGTGAAACTATTATTTCAACAATTCATGTATATATACCAGACTTAAGAACTTTCTAAGAGTCTGTTACATATTGGTGAGGTACAGATTGTTATCGAATTTTCGAAACATTTTGCAATTTTGTTTCAGTGATGATGGGCGTTATATGTATTTATCAGTGACTGAAAAAAAAAATACTGACAATAATTTTTACATTAAATTATCATCACGGAAATATTAAAAAATTTACAAATTAATGGCCTGGCTCACAAGGTAATAGCTGATTAAGTTGTATACTGAATAGGATAACAATTTCATACACTGTAGGGCTTAAATCGTTAGGGATAGGGAGGAAGTATCAAGATGGAAACTGGCCATACCTTTACTTAAATTGTGCCAGTTTTGTGGAATTTGGTTTGTTTTTTAGTGGATTTGGTATTCATGTGACTAGTTTAAATCAAACGGACATGATTTATGTGTAAGTTTGAATATTGATTTATGTAGGAGGTACTGTGAAATGGTATGAATGATTGTGTGTGATCGAGTGCTTTATCAAGTATCTGATATAGCTATTATTATGGCTAATGATATCCATTTCCTTGTGAAGTATGAAAAATAATTCCATCTGTGACTGTTTCGAAGATTAACATCATGGCATGAATTATTATATATATATATATTTCTTTATTCTAGTGTGATCTGTGATGTCTTTTTACTCTGATAGTCGTCCATATGAATTTGCTTTACTTTGCCTACAAATACTTTTTTACAGCAGGTTGTGCTCTTAATAAGCTAAAAAAAAAAAAAAAAAAAAACTCCCTGCCATATAGCTTTGCTGCAGATCCTGAGAAATTTTGAAGTGATGTATTTTATGCTAAGACAACAAGCTAACAAAATGTGTGTTTGTATCATCAAAGTATTCTACCTGCTTAACCATCTATGCATGACAATGGCAAGACACTAACAAAGCAATGCTTTTTTGCCAAGCAGCTCATTAATGACAACTTTCCCCTAAGTCCAAACGGAGGAATTGCGATTTTGCATGTTCATTGTAGGTGGTGTTAGTAGGCCGTGTCCACCTTTTACGGGACGCCCTGTTGGCGATCTTCCGCGCCTTGGAAACAATTGGGCCAACCTGATGGTAAATAATGCTTTTGCCTGCGATGGTTACGTCACAGAATGGACTGTTTACAGGGGGACAAGTGTTGGTACGGCTTATCTTGGCATATGGCGCCAGCTAGGTGACAAAGACATGGTTCTCCTCCAAAAGGTTGCGATACCTCCAGCTCCTATAGGTAACCAGAAAATTAAACTAAACCGTGCATGGGAGGTCAAAAAAGGCGATTTCCTTGGAATACACTATCCACGATCCACACCAGGAGGCGTTGTTGCCAGTGCCACTCAGGCTGATGGTGTTTCTGATATTGAGCTGTACAGGAATTATAATGTGGAGATTTTTGATGATGATATCACGGAGAATATCCCTCTGAATTTGGGTCTTTACGCCGGAGGATATGACAGGAGGACGTATGCACTTCAGGGAGCCATGGAGTACGAGGTCACCAACCTGGTCGACCCAATTCCTGTAGCCGGTAAGATGACCACTACTACTTGTAAAAGACAGAGAGGGAGAAAAACTGTGTGTGTGTGTGTGTGTGTGTGTGTGTGTGTGTGTGTGTGTGTGTGTGTAGGAAGAGAGAGAGAGAGAGAGATGTATTAGCCTCTTCTTTCCATATTTAAAGGTGGGAGCTATATTGTTCAATTATTCAAACTTCTGAACTGAACAGCTGCAGAACTAATTACTCTTATTGTGCATGAATGTTTTGTTTTTCATGTCACTAGTTATGGAATAAGACTGAAAACAACATTTTAAATCCATAGGATTAGTACAAATTCATAGAAGTAAAACCTTGAAAATTAATGATTATAATATGTTTACACACACATGTAACAATGGTCTTTCTGAGATAATTTTTAATATCAGCTGCTATAAAAATGATAAAATTTCAGCATGATTTAACAAAGACTATGATTAATGATAACAATGTGTGAGGTGTGAAAGGTGGATATTCTTTAACAATGGTTGTTGAGAAATGTGTTTGGTGAGATTCTTGATTGTGATATGTTGTACACTTAAATTATGAAAAACAGAAGAAAGAGGAAGTTAAAGAGATGTATCTGAATATTTCATGAACATCAATAGAACAGGAAGTATGATAAATCGTGAGAGTTATGATAACCTTTTGAGGGTGTTGTTAGGAAAATAATTTGTGCCTGTTTTCTCTTAAGCTCCATTGAATCTTTTGCCATAAAGGTTAATTGCGTCTGAATGAGTCATAACTTTCTGTTAGCCTCGTTGCAGGTCAGTGCCTAACCTCTGAATGGTGATTAAAAAATTGAAAAATTGCTTGCAATGGAGTTTAATTTCCATGGTTAAAAGATTTATGGGTTTGAAATAAAATATATGTTTTGCAACGGTGGAAAGTGCACCACCGGATAATTGGTTGTGTTCTGCACTTTGTTGAGTGTAACATTAGATTTGAATGAAGGAATAAATGAGTTATTGTTGAGTTATTGAAATTGGAGAGAGAGAGAGAGAGAGAGAGGTTTAAGGGCATTCAGGTATTCATTGATAAAATGGGAGATACGACATTTGTGCTAGACTGTTTAATTGAACATTCTCTATCTGTACGTTGAAATAATCATTTCCTTTCAGCTGAATACATTTCGGCAGGTGTGGTGTTCAGTTAATTAATATAATTTTCAAATCAAGTTGTATAATATATATGAGCACATGGCAGCTGCTTACTCAATCAGTGTGTCTAGCTTTCTGTTCCAAAAACTGTTTGAAGTATAATATTTAAATTACAAAATTTATAAAGGGAAACATTTGTGTATTTAGACACTTGAAAAAAATATTTATCCATGGTCATATGTATTTTTTGGTTTTGCGAAAATCTGTAGAAAATAGCATCAAAAAGGTTGGTTGATTTTTGGAACAGACGTCTGCACTTGCTCACTAGGCCATGTCTGCTGTTTTAAATTGAGAGTCTTTTGTCCAAATACTTGTCTGCCACAACTAACTTTTTAAGACCTGGCCCTTGAGATGTATATGTATAATTACATTTACAATTCCTGAGCGAGGGCCGTGTTAAAATGCTACGAGTCCAACAGGCAGGTATTGCCTCTTTTTTTGCAGGAATTGGTGTTAAACCATAGCATGTAAAACACATCTAATCACTTCCAGCACCGGCTGATCAATGAGTCTACAGTTCCCTTTGGAAGCATTGTTGTCAGACAGAGGAAACCATGCTGAAAAAACATACTGGGGCTTGTAAGGGAGCTCTGTGGCAGGGTTGAAGGCAAGGGTGTGTGGTGGCGGGCATATGGCTGTTCATTGTTTGTATGTTTTTTTGGTATTGGTTCAAAGAGGAGAGAAGGAGAGAGTGATTAAAGGAGGAAAAGAATGAAAGAGGAGAAGCAAAGGCACTTAATGGTTTGTGTCTGTCTGTCTGTGTGTTTGTGTGTGTGTGTGTGTGAGAGAGAGAGAGAGAGAGAGAGAGAGTGGGTGTCAGAGAAAGGCTCAGTTTGGTAAAGAGCATGTTGACAGGAACAAACTTCATTATTATAAAGTTTCGTTGAGCCAACAATCATATTTTGGCAGACAGCGAAAAAGAGAAAGGAGTAAATGGGAACAGTCTGCTTGCCATTAAGATAAATCAGTCACAACAGAAAAAGTGACAAAGAAAATGTTGAGAAAGGTTTCGCCAGAAGCAAGCCCACCCTCATAACGTCTCATCATCCAATAAAAACTGTGGATGTGCCTCATGGTTATAAACCAACTCAATCAGGGCCATTGTTTAAACTGTGAGCAGCCAGCCAGCCATCGTTTTAGTCATCTTTATTGGAGTTATGTGTTGATGAAGTGATATTTGGGCCCACAAACACAATTCTGACACCAGGCGCTATGCATCATGCAAATTGATAGGTGGTTTATATAAAAAGCTGAAAATTCAGGATGTTTTCTTCACAATTTGCAGCAAGAGCTTCATAAAGTTCATGTTAAAAAAATGAAGGGGTATTTGATATATATTTTTTATGGAGAACAATTATACAGGTTTAGGGATCTGCATAGAAAAGGAGCAAAATTATAAATGTGTTTCAAATTGTTTTTTTTTTTTCTATACGGAAACATTTGTCAGAACTTCTGAGACCTGGTGGCCATTGCAGAACCTGTTTTTGGAGGCAACCAGTGTAGGCAGAGCACTGCGGAGTTGGAAGGGAAGGCAAAGACGAGAGAGCAGAGGAAGAGTGGTAACCTTCAAGCTTGTTCTTGACGTTGTCACTGGCCTTTTAAACCTAGCAGTTTTGGGAAAAAATTAGTGGGAAAATCTTTTGACAATTGGGATAGAAACTATAGTGAAAGATTCATGGAAATCGAGGAGAATGTTGATTAGGAGCGATTGAAGAAATGAGCAAATATTCACAAGGATAAGCAGTAATAGAGCAAATCAACAAGGATGCATAATCAGTATAGAGGATTATTATGTAATAATCTGTATCTTTCTGAAGTGGCAACAATTGTGATTGCCTCCAGTTTGAATTTTTTATAGAAAGCTAGGGAACAATTGTGGAAATATGCTTCTTTTTGAACGAGGAGATAAGCATTTATATGAAGTCCGAATTGAATTCAAGTTTAAGTTGGTGTTATTTTCCTTTGAGAATGATATATGTGGAGCACTGGAAATTTTGTTTCAAAGAATATCTGGAAGTTTTAGGTTTTATTTTGAATCTAACAGATAAAACTATTTGAAGCGTTAGTATTTGTGGGAATGAAATATTTCATTGAATTAAAATTGGTTTATTTAATTTATAAATTTCACACAAAAAAGTTGTAGGTAATCTTCCCTGGTGAAAAACAACTGGAAAGGAGACAATTTGGTTTGATAACTGTTCATGGTAATTGACAGGTTAGATGGTGATAGATCTTGGAAAACTACTGGTCCATGTCGAAATCATCTTGAAAGTAAAATGTATACAATGTGGAAAACAGTTAAAAACAACTGCTAAATTTGCAATATTCATATTGGTCAAATTATGTAAAAAAAAAAAAGTCCAATTATTTCACAAGTCCATTAAGAAATCTAAATGTCTGTTCTTTAAACTAAATTAGTGTTGCTTTGAGCATCTATTAAGTCATTTAGGAAACAATTAGCAAAAATAATCAGAAAACATTTAAAATAAGTATGGAACAAAATCTGCTTGTGTCTACATTGGATTGAATGGAGCATTTATATAATCTATTTAGGTAAAGCACCTAGGAAAGTGACCTCTGATTTAGCAGCTAATTTAACCAGTAAAGTCCAGAAATAGTTTCTAAATGGACAGGTGAGGGCCATGGGTCAGGCAGGTGATTTACTGGGCTTTATTATAACCAGGAGCAACTGGTCTGGTACACCTAAGGCCAGTTCAGACAGGATTAGGTTGAAACGGTTTTAGTTCTGAAACATGTCACAATATGAAAGTTGGCAATATGTTGTAGCCTCCTAAAATGCCCACGTTTGGAAGATAAACATAGAAATCAATAATATTAATTAATTTGAATAAATTTATCAAAAATGCCTAAATTTGGTCAACTTAAGCATAAAAGAGCTTGGGATGGTTTTTTTAAGTTGGACCATGTGTGAACAGGTTGCAGTTTAAGTACAGAGTGCACACAGGACTCCATATTGTTACTGTTCTGTTAGTTTCTCCTGCCTCAGTCTGCTACAGGTGAGTCTGGTTTATAGCCAGTGCCAAGTGAGGCTCTCCACCGGAGGGTTTCACAGCAGCAGACCAAGGGATATTCACTTTGAAAAATTATTTTAACCAGTTCTGGTTCAGCTTAGATGACATCAGAATTGTTAAGGTGTTGCCATGGTAACAGTAACAGTGCTCTGCCTCCTTAAATAGCTGTAGGGTGACTTCTATGATAATACTCAAAATTTGAAAAAATGTTTTGAATTTAAAAAATGATATTATCAGCAAGAAAATGGCACCTGGAAACAATGGGAATTGCTACTTGAAGAATCCAGATTTCCTAGAAATGAAGTGTAAAACTGTTGGCAAAGGTGAACCATAATTTAAGCTGGCATCTCTTTGGTGCAAATGGCACCAGTTCAACCCACTGTCAAAACTGGTTGTTAGAGATGTGGAATTTTATGTTAATTCCATTTAAGCTATTTAATTCTATATGTTTTTGTTAATTGGAAGCAATATTTTTGGCTAAGTGATATAGGCTGTCAGGTAATTTGTGATCTGGGTTGAAAAGGTTCTTAAATTTGGCAAAATACATAAGAGCATTATTGTAATACAAGTATGTGGTCTTCATGCCTGAGAATGCTTCCAGCCATCCCATGGCTTTTAGAGACTAAAATTTCTCAGTAATCTTATAAGTTCTGAGGTTGTCTGATTTCTAGTCCAATCTTGTCCTGGGCTGAAAAAGTGATTTAAGATTTCTGGAGTGTGAATAACATTTTAGGAGCATTATTTGGAGGCTTGTTTCATCAAAGTCGTCATTAGCAAATTACTTGGCAATGTAGGAATCCACTGTGCTCAATCCGTGTTTTTACTGTCCAGGTAAATTTAGAGAAGGACAACATCTTTAAGGACAGTATCAGTAGCTACTGATGGCAGTGTGAAGTGAGGCCCTGGATTTTTTCGCCTCGGGAGCCTCGTAGTACAGATGTGCAGCAATAGTGGACTGAACTGCCTTCTGAAGTAGTGGACTACCTCCGAACCACTTAGGTGTGGAAGTAATAAGATATACACTCTACCTCAAATGCTACTTGAACCAGGGAAGTTGAGATAGAGACCTACTTTGGGAAACTGTTTCAAGGCCCTATTTTCAAAACTTGCTGATGGGCTTGGAGATGCACCATTGTTTTTTATTGAGGGATTAGCTGTGAGGAAAAAATGGAATTGTTTTTTGTTTTCAGTTTTTGATGATATTTGATCAATGGGAGAAGATTATATAGTGGAAATAAGTTGTTTGATTTACTTTTCAAAGAGGAACAGATAGAGTTCGAGGAAGAAAGCCTAGTGGAACTTTCTTGTGCAAATTTTGTTTGAGTTTCTTGCAGACGACAGCGAAACAAACCAGCAGACGGCCAGGATTTTTCTAGGAGTACCAGAATCCAACAAATATTTCTTTTTAGAAAGCAAGTACTGGAAATAAGATGAAATTATTACTATTCTTCTCGACTTTGTTCTCTTTAGCACCAATTCTTCCAACACAGTCACCACCAGACATCACATGTCATTCCACGGAATTCAGGTGCCGAAATAATGGCGCATGCATCACGTTAGGCCAAAGGTGCGATGGACATCGAGATTGCGCTGATAATTCAGATGAAGAAAATTGTGGTGAGTATTTTTTAAATATTTTGATTTACTGTTACAGTACTCTTTATATTGCTTGTTGACACTAACATTTTAAAATTACCATTTACCGCTGAAACTTAATTTATACTTTAAAAATATGAAAATGGTGGGTTATTACATTGTTTCAGTTAATAGGTCACATAATTTTGATTTGTGTGAAATTTAAACAAACTATAAAATTTAAGTAACTTTACGTGAATCAACAAAACAGCTGTGACCTTGCTAGCATATGATTTATTATTTTTGTGATAAATTACTAAATATATTCTCATTAAGTCTATGACGAATTAGCAAAAAACTATTGAGTATTATTTTCAATTTCTACTGTGTAAATTAAGTCAATATTGGGCATAATTTATGATTATATGTGAGTTGGAACCCATACAAGTTCACAGCAGTGAAAATATTTAAGATCAGGATTTATATTCAGACTTTTGTACTACATAGTCACATCATCAGTTAAGCCTAGATTACATTTACCCGGGCGCCATGCGATGAAATTGTCCATACAATTTTTTTTTTGAAATCGTAAGGAGCCACGGGCTTCGCCAAGTATGTCTACATTACATGGCTTTAAATTCATACAATTCCATGCGATTTCGCACAAGCGCCGTCTACCTCCTCTCCAACGCCGTATGAAAAGGGGATTACGGGCAGTATACATGCACTGTACCGGCAATGCATTTCAAATGTAATCTAGGCTTTAAAGTAGCTAGGCCTCTGTTTTTCATCTAGTACTGCAGTGTTTTTGAAGATTTCATCTGCCATAAATATTATGTCTGGATTAAATGTTCTTGGAGACACTAATATATCTCTGGGTATAAAACACTTGAAAGCTATCACCTAGTGGTCTTGTGTCTCAAGGATTAAAATGATGTGTAGTAACTGTATTAAACATGGCAGTTATATTTTGAGGTATACTTACATTTTCAAAAGATTGTTATCATGGAATTATGGCTCAGTTAATATACATACATTCTGTGATTATTTTGAGGAGCAAAATTATCTGCCCATTTAAATTTGAAAATGGAAAACGTTATAGTAAGGTCATTCAGTAACATCTGGATCTGATTCCATGATTCTTATATTGAGCCCCCCATAAGATATTTCAGAAACACGTTTCAGACCCCCTACCCTTTGACCTTTTTCTTGGGATATTCTCCTCTAGAATTCTTTGAGATAAAATCTACAGAAAAGCAAAACCATTTTGATTTAGATTAAAATAGGAATGTCTTCTTCCAAGGGCTGGCAAGTATTTAGCGTACGTTTCCCCCCTCTCACTTCTTGTGCTCTGCAGCAGACATCTGCCAGCTTTACATATGAGGAAGTAGAAGCAATTTCAGTCCCCTTTCTGAAAATGTGAGCAATTAAAATAGCATACAAGTGCACAGGCTGGTAGTTTGATGGTGTTTGCTATTAAAACACTGCAGATAGACTGGGTTCCCATACCTAGTTCGATCTAACAGGATCGATCCATCTCTAAGGGGTTTCATGTTAAATTGCTTTCAGTTTAAGTGGCTTGGATGTCTGGCATACCTACTGAAGCTGCTAAATGATAATTACCACCTAGCAGCTTCAGTAGGCATGATAGACATTTAAGCTGCTTAAGTTGATTGCAATTTAACAATAAACCCCTTTGAGATAGATCGATCCACAGTTAGTACAATAGGGTCTAGGAATGGTCCCATAGAGGCTGAAGATGAGGGCTATTACATTTGAATTCTTAGTAGGGATTTTAAGAGGTTTTGTTTTTTCAAAATGCATCATTGGCAAGATATGTAACGTTATTTTAAGTATTTTTGGTGGATGGACATTTTGTTACATTGAAAAGGATATAAGTGGAAAAAAAATTAAAATGAGAAAAATATTTGTTAATATTTGGCGGCAAGTTTTGGGGGGCTCTGTTTAAATATAGATTTTATGAATAACAAAAATGTTCACTATTAAAAATGGAATCAAGATATTGTGCACAAACATGCTAAAAATTAATCAGAGTGCAGTTTTTCCTAAGCAGGTAAGCTGAAACCCATCCTCATATTTAAAAATGGAATAACCTGGCCTAATTTGATGTGTTTTTCTAGTAGATGGGTATATTTGCCCAGCTATGCCAGCAGTTGGGCCATGTTGTTTTTATTGGCGTTAGCTCAGTTTTTATTTCCGTCAGTAAGCTGCATTTTTCTATCTCACCTGATGTGCTATCCTAGCACCTCTCTGATTAACTTTTACCCAGATTTATTCACTCAACCAAATAAGTTTGGAAACATTTTTTTTAATCATTGAAATAACCATATAAGCTAAGGGAAATATTTTAACCAAATATTGATAGAAAATGCATCCACCATTTGTTACTTTTTTATGTACGCTGAATATTTCCCCACTATATTACATAGCTTTTGTTTATTATTCAAAACTTATTTTATTAACTTATTTGGTCCAGTGTAAGTGGTAAAGTGGCTTATTTTATATGTTGCTGTTTTTGGAGTCAGTTTACAGTAAGAAGCCAATGAGTTTTCTAGAGAAAGAAAGCCCTCAGTGGAAAACAACTTCACCTGCTTAAATAATATGAGCAAAGTACTGGATTAAAATTTGGCATGGTTGCAAATTTTGTAAGCACATGTTTCAATCTTAAAATATTTTTTCACTCCTTCCGTGTGACAGGTTACGCATGTGAGAGCCATACAGTCATGTGAATATATATCTTTTGACTCGTTAATCGAAGAAGGGTGTAGCATTTGCATACTTTCTAAGTCATATTTCTTAAAAAAAACACTATGGAATTTGAAATGAAATCTCTTAAAGCAATGTCAGCAGCATGAATGTATTGATTTTAAAAAAATGAGGACTGTCACATGAGAATGTGTGAGTAACTAAATTGTGGTTTGGAAAAAACAAAGGGAAGGTTAAAATGAAGGACCACTTAAACTATGAGCCCAAAGGGGTGCCTCTTTCCAGTGAGATTTGTTAAATTTAAGTAATAAGTGTTTGTGTGTGTGTGTGTGTGTGTGTGTGTGTGTGTGCCTGTGTGCATCTGTTTGTGTGTGTGCATGCATGGATTCGTGTGCATGCATGTGTATGTATATGCAGGTTTGTAAATGTTAGTGTGCATGTATGTATGCATGTGTGTGTGTGTCTGTAGGTGTTGTGAGGTATCGGTGTAAAAACAAAATTTGTAATAAAGTCATATATGTAAACCAATGGCAGAACTGAACAGGAATATCAACAGCAAAAAACAATTCCCAATTCTACCATCCTGCCTCACACCTTCTAGTAAAATGCAAGAGCCTTTTGAATAAATACTGCCTGGGTAAAAATAGATCAGATGATTCTTAGAGTAATTTCCGGAATGTTTACTATCTCAGGCTGCTAGAATTGAAGGCTCCATGGTTCATTCTTCCAATCAATCAGGATTTTTTACCCAGGGAAATCTTTGGGGCCATTTTCAGAATAGATGATCCGAGTACTAACTGAACCACCGATTAAATATGGCCGACTCCACTTCAAAAGTGATGCCGCTGATTCCCGATGGTCTCCCGTATCCACACGCACCATTTAACAAATTAAATCTCGGCTCCGAAGTGATTGCTAGGCCCCTGCAGCGATGGTGCCTGTGTAGGCAGGAAGACCATCATGGAATCAGTGGCATGGCTTTTGAAGTGTGGTCAGCCATATTTAATCGGCGGATCAGTTGGTACTCAGATCATCTATTCTGAATGGCCCCTTCAACTTTTCTGCATTTTTGACTGGCATTAAAAAAGGTGCACATCACTCTCTGGGACCTGAAAATGTATAAATGATAATTTCTAGTCATTTGCAGTCAAATTTGCACATTTATATGTAAAGGATTCTATAATCTATAAAGATTATAAAGTCAAAAAGGATAAATGAAAGAAGCAAGGGTCACAGCCCAATACCAAATTTATGTCATTGGTACAAGTGTACATCTCGTGACTATTGTTTTGCATGTTACTGTATTCAGTTTTAGCATGCTCTATTTGAAAGAAAAGAAAGTTGAAAAAAGAAAAAAAAAAATCCTTGAGCCTTGGTGCCAGATTTTAATCAGACTTCCAGATGGGTAAACTATTTCAGCTTGAGTCATTAGCAAATCACATTGCCCTTTATATACTATGTTCCAAGACTGGTGAACACACATCTTTTTGGAAGGCAAAGGTGTTCATGATTTTGTAATTCTGGTGGTCCGTGGGTGAGTCATAGTAAATTGAGACATTTTTATGTGTACTGCTATTGTTTTGGGGTAAATTGTATTAAATTGGGGGATTTTTAGTGTCATTTATATATAGGGCAATTTAGAAATTGTGTCAAATTATCATTGAAGTGATGGAGTTTTTGTAATCTCTGCTAGCAAAAGAATTCCTCACTGGCCAATTTTCCAATGTTACAACTTGTAAAACCCTTGTTTTATAAATGCAAACCCCTCAACTAGAGTCAATAAGTTAGCTTCTGCTCTGTTTCAACTTGTAGACACGTGCAAATAGTGGTGAAAATAAATGAAATGCATACATTTTTTTAACACACACACAAATATACAGTTTATGTTTTTTCCTTAGCCATCTAAATTACCAAGCCAACTTAACAATTCAATTTTCTTACCTTCTTACCAAAAGTTTGCTTATATTCCCTTTACACTGAACGGCGTCCTTTCCGCGACCATGAAATTGGCATCGCTATGGTCGTGATAAGGAGGCATGATTTGGTATCAGAATGGATTTCTAATGATAGGCCAGTTGTCAGCACGTAAAGTATTATCATTTTTTACTCTCAAATGGGACCATACTGCTGGATGCAGAAAGGACACCGCCCAGTGTAAAGGGGGCTTTACCCAAACTTAATTGTCTGATCACCAAGTTCAACTCACAGATGTTTTTGCCAAGTCAGTTATTGCTAATGGGCAAAGGTTTACTACTGTGAAGATATTGTCTTTGATATACTGCTTTTAAAGGTATTATTATTATAATTATTAAGACACCAATTAAGGGGATATACTTTATACTTCAACTGCATGCTCAATTGTTATGTAAAAGGTAGATTATGATCTCTAGGTGAGATGACAAAACAGAGTTATTTTTTACTTAGAGGAATTAAATACTGAGAGCAGTACACTATGCTTCAATCCACTATCGTCTGAAATGTGACATGAACAAGGTCCATTGATGGTGGATCTAAATTCTGTGCTTGTCTCTCATTATTTATTCATTGCCAAGAATAGCTTTGTTTTATGCATGAATGATGAATTCTATTGAATTATTTTGCTTGAAACTTACCCTGAACGCCATGTATTTGACAGTGGACATTATATGTTGAATTTAAATTATTGAAAATAAAGGATGTCCAAAATCTGGCATGATTCTTTTTGGGGGATATGAAAGAATGGCTCTTGGGTCAAAAAAGGCCTGCTGTAAATGGCAGTTTGAGCTGTGCCATTTTCTCAGGTTGGGTCAGTAAGGGGGATATAAAAGTCAACTTTTTCAGAAAAAAAAATTGTAATTGTTGACTACAGTGATGACATATTATTAGTTTTCTAACGTTCAGGGTCTTCCTGCCTATGACAGATATTTTGTGTATTCTTGCTATTATCAATTAGCTTTAAGCGAATGCAAATATCTCTCAACTATCCTGTATCAATTACCATAGCAACCGATGCGCCGCGCTGTTATTCAAACGAGTTTCAGTGTCGTAATGGCGGCACAGCAAATGCTCCATCTGGCTCATGCATTTCAATCACACAAGTTTGCGATGGCCACAGAGATTGCGCAGATAACACTGACGAGGAGAACTGTCGTAAGTTGTGCGGTGCATGTGCGTGTACAGCGCTCCCTTCACGAAATTGCACTTAGTGGTTGCATGTTTATGTCTAAATGTACTCGAATGTTTTGTATTTGTTTTCAGTGTTTTTATGTTGGTATTATATATGTGTGTGTGTTAGTTTACTGGTAATAAATTCTGCTGCTTATTTTTCGTTCTGATTATGAATTTCTTTGCAGCACTACTATAAACCAGCTATTTATTTTTATTTTCAATAATATTCAGATATTCCATATTACATACAACTACATAGCTTAGTTTTGGCTATAATGAAATGCAATGTGCCGTACAAGGGTATACTGCCTTATAATGTGATAGTTTTGCCTTTGATATATATATTTTTGTCTTATATTATGTATATATTATTCAGTGTTCTAAAATATGGTCTTGTGGTGGAGGTAAATAATTTATAGTGAATTCCATTTTACAGAAAAATATTGACAACTTATTATACATTTGAACCTAATGCGTGACATTTTAAAGAAATTATTATTTTTGGCTATAGTTGTTACTTACATTTCTAAAAAAGAATATTGAAGTTTTTCTGGATAGTGGAAGCACTCATTTTAACTAATTAAATTTAAACTAATTAGATTTAGATGGTAGTAGTGCCCTGCACTTTGTTTCATTTATTGATATTATTTTTTTAACAATTTCACAACACGTATCTTAGCCAAAATCACAGAGTAGATTAAAAATGTATCTACAAATAAAGCTGTGTTTACACAAAGAAATTCATATCCAACATGAACAAAAATATTACAATTTACAGTTAACTGATTGAGCACTGCCTTCAAAATATTATTAGTTTTAAGTTTAAAGCTTTCAAATTTGTGGCAATAAAAATGTGTTTGCTGTTCATAAATGTGATTATCCAAAATTTCGATCAAAATATCTACCTAATATGTTCAAATAAAGTTAATAATTTGTATAGACACAGCTTTTTAAACTAAAATAAATCTTCCTCTCTTTCGAATTTGTGAAGGAATATTAATGTACCAACCATATTTTCACTCCCATCGTACATCATATATAGATTCACATATTCCTTTTGTTTTTAGATAGTTGCTAAAATTGCACAACATATTTTACTGTGTGCATGTATTCCATGAAAATTATTTTTAATTTTATTTTTTTTTATGAGAACTGATAATTTGTATTCTGTCTTCTGGTGTGCTGAAATTATGACATATATACAATAATTGCACTATAAATCACTTGCTCATAAAATTGATATTTTCCTACTTTATTGAGATAAGGTTGTGAAGTTAGATATTTACCATCGTGAATATGGTTAAAGATAAATTATAGTAATAGTTAATTTATAAATTATGATAGGCATATTAATGAAGAAACATTCCATACAGACCCAAGCCTCTTGGGCCCATTGAAAATGAATATATGCATTAGAAAATTGTGGTGATACCGAATGTATCCTTGTAATTGTACACTTCACACTCTACAGTTAAACTGTTCTTCCTTTAAATGGACATGTAAGTGCTTTGAAATACAAAAAACTACTTTGGTCTGAGGTGCAGTGTATTATCTTGTCCCATCTCCAGTGTAACAGGTCTTAGATTTGATCTACGTACATTAGTTGATATATTCAGTTGTAAAACCCACAAAATTAAGATTTGAGAAAATAGCTGTAACTGCTGTAAAGCAAGAAGTTCTTTGGTAAGGGTGGATAATAGTTCACAAACATTGCTGTACATTAAATTTAAAAAAAAGAAAAGAAAACTGTGCAAGTGCTTCGGCTTTGCTTTTTTTGTTTCAAAAAGCTCATCATTACCAGACAGTTTAATGTATGTCTTTTTGATATACAGTTGACAAATCGTAAATAAGTTCTGATTTACAAGTTCTTGGTAGCTTTTATACACAACAAATTACACAAAAAGGCTCCCTTTTCTTCGTTACATACTTTCTTGTCATCCAATCGTCATGGCATCAGAAATCCATGGTCTCCTGGCTGGATCACGATAACAGCAAATAGTCTCCATTTCCTTGTAAAGCATTGTCTCATCTTGCTTCCAGCGCCACCTAGCTGTAGTGCTGGGGAGTTCAGGTGCACCGATGGAACATGTATCGACAGTCGTCGTCGCTGTGACAACTTTCCTGACTGCCGTGACAGGAGTGACGAAGAGAACTGCCGTAAGTTTTCGAACTGTGTATGTGTGTGTATATATATGTGTGTGTCTGTGTGTCTTTGTGAAATGGTTTAGTCTAGAAAGATGAAAAATTTACGATGTGGTTAAAAGGTACAGTAGCAGCAGATTTAAGGGACACTATGGATCTTAGCTTTGTAAATACCCCCATTTTGCCCTTTTCACTCACCCCCCCCCCCCCCCACATACACACGCTTCAAATAAAAAGTAGTATTGGTGAAACAAGAAAAAACAATTTCTATATCTTTCATATAGCATCACAATCGTCTTCGCTACTATTTTATGGTTGCCAAGACAAGCAAGGCAAAATCTTTTTAATTCTGCCTCTCCCCCTTTTCCTGGGTAAGTTCTTGGATCCACCTGAGCATATAAAACACTGTAGAGATACACTTTCTGTGTACTTATAGTAACTTATAGTAACTGGCTCGCGCTGCCAGTAATTACGCCGCGGGATATTCAGGGCACAGACCACGATCATAAGACATACCGCGAATAGAAAATAGAATTTAGAAAATAGATATTGCATGTGAATG